TACCAACTCTGTGGCTGAGGGAGAGCCAAACGCCGTCTCGCTGCAGCTCCTCCAGGGCCAGAGCGATGTGAGCGGTAGCTGAAGTTCTGCCGTTCTCTCTTACTACAAATCTGTTTTCCTAAAGCACACGGATTTTGGGGGCTCTTGAAACCAACGTTTTCCTTCTGCTCTCCGGCAGAGATGCTGCTCTGCGCGCACACTGTCAGCGACCACCCCCGCCTGGGTGCAAATACGTGGGTGGCTTTGTTTCAGGGCGACCCCCTTACCTTCTCCACTGGCACGGTGGTGTGTTTTGGTTGTCTCTCTCCCAAAAACAAACCTCGGGGCCTTTTTCGGAGTCGGGGATCGGTCGCCGGGCAAGGTCCCTCCAGTGACCCACCACACCACCCTGGTATCGCCCAGCAGCAGGCCAGGTTGGACGGGGCTTGGAGCAACCTGGGCTGGTGGGGGGGGGCCCGGGCAAGGGCCGGGGAGTTGGAACGAGATGTTCTTCAAGGTCCCTTCCAACGTAAACCATTCTATGACTCAAGTAGGGTCAACTTGAGGGTGACTGTTGCCCCCCTGATGAGCTGTGTTCAGATCGGCTTAACTTGCGGAGCTCTCCCAAAGCTCCTCAGCAGCATGTTGTGGCGGTAGCGTCAAAGTCTCCAGAGAAATGGTTGGGTGGGATGGACCGCTGTGGACCCTGGTGGGATGGGTCTGTGGTGCCAGTCACCACCAGGTCCTGCTCTCCAGCTGGGAGCGAGCTCCTCAAACAAGTCCGGTGGGTGATGTTGGTTCTGCAGGGTGAGGCCAAGTTCCCCGACAACAGCCTTGCTCTGCTTAATTGGGGCTTGTAGGCATCTCATGAGTGGCATCTGCACCATCCCTAAGGGCCTGGAGTTGAGAAGATCTTGTGTCCAAATCACATACAGCCTCTGTGACCCTCTGGGGAGTAGCGTTTGGGCAGATGAGGGACCTTCCCTGCACATGAGATGAGGGAGGGATAATTTGGGGAGATTAAGATTGTATGGTGCTGCATCTTAAACAGTTGTGGGTGGGCACAGTGTTGTGCAGGTGAGGCCCCATCTCCATGTCCATCGTCCTGCTCCAGGCAGGCCTAGGTAGATAGCTCGGGGACTGGCCTCGCTGAGACTTGAGCATCTCCAAGAGTGGGGTTTCCTATCCAAGAGCCCCGTTCCAATGGGTGGTCACCCTCATGGTTTTACAATGAATAATAAACATCCGTGTGTCACGGCTTCCTGCGTCCCAACTTGAGCTGTTGCCTCTTGTCCTGTCACCACCACCCATCTCCACCCATGGCTCTTTCCTGTACCCTCCTGGTAAGCACTTGTCGGCAGCGGTGAGAGCCCCTGAGCTGTCCCAATGCCCACAGCCTCTCTTTGTACCTCCTGGACATGCTCCAGTATCTCCATGCCTACTTTTCCTATGCTAGGGAGCCCCAAACTGGACACGGGGTCCAACTGTGGTCTCAAAAACGCTGAAGAGAGAGGAATAGTCACCTCCTCCATAACCAGTGACCGTTGGGACAATGCTCAGCACGTCCCTTTGATTCCAGTAGTTCCTTCAATTTTCCACCTTAGCATCCGGATGGACCGTCCCCCTGCAGAGCCAAAGTGGTTGGTGTAAACAGCTCAGTATGGGTGGACCTCAAGATGCCAACGGTGGTGGACCGGGCTCATGGGGGAGAAGCGAGGAGGGACGGTGCATCGCCGAGATCCTGTGGGTTTGCCTTTGGAGATTGATGACCGCATCTGTGGTTAACCTTGAAAGCAGAGGCATGGAGCTACTGCGCTGGGTTTAGTGAGGAGGACTCTGGTCTTATTCAACGCTGAGCTCCTCACCTCGGGGTGGTGGGCAAAGAGCAAAACCACACCCATTTCTGGGGCGCTTTAATTTTTTTCAGCCGCTCCCAGGGTGGGCAAGAAGAACATGTGCCATTTGTGCCGCCGGGCAGATGTTTCTGGCCCGTGTTCTGCTGCGTGAAAGACTCGAGGGCTGCTGGTGGCCTTCCATCAGCACGTCCATCACACCTTCTCGCTTGTCCTTTTGCTGTTCCTTTTTGGGACCAGCCCTCGTCTTTCCTGGTGGGCTGCCAAGTGCGGCGTTGCAGCCTCGAGACGAGCCCAGCGGCGGAGGGCTGGTGGCCCTCTCCTGCGGCCCAGTGGTGGTGACCGTCCCCATGGACCTGCGTTCTCCATGCTGAAACCAACGCTGCCGCTTCTTGGAGACAACAGGC